AATATAAGCATGCCGAGCGTGCAGAAAAGCCCTACATCTGGGATGTGCAGAACGTGCAATTGAAAAAGATTTTTCCTAAGGAATCCATTAGTCAAAGTGTTTTCCACTAAAACAAAGGGTGAGTTTGGGAAATGAATAACATAGTAATTCAGCTACCCTGTTTGTTGTGTCATCTAAACCACAGCAATAAACGTACCATACAGCATATGACACACTACCAGATAAATTACTACTTCTTGAGCAAGCATGAAAGGATAACAGTATTATATTTACACTTCAAAAAGCACCGTATACAGCTCTGTACCAGTTTTACCAGCTTGAAACTAAAAAATAAAGTGCAGAAATGTAATACTACTTACAAAATAATAATTTGACCACAGCGTAATAAACAAAAAGAGCTAAAAGTTTTATGAAAAAAGTACCAGCAAGATCACAAAGCTCCATCTAAACATTTGCCCCAGTTGGTCCCCATGGGCAGCACAGTGGCTAAATGGTTAGCACTTCCACCTGGCAGTACTAGGGTCGTTGGTATGAATCCCAACCACGGCACCACCTGCCTGGAGTTTACATGTTCTCCCTGTACCTGCGTGGGTTTCCTCCGGGTACTCCAGTTTCCCCCCACACTCCAAAGACATGCTGGTAGGTTAATTGGATCCTGTCTAAATTGGCCCTAATATGTGAATGTAAGTTAAGAACCTTAGATTGTACACCCCTTGAGGGTTAGGGACTGATGTGAATGTACAATATATATATATCTGTAAAGCGCTGTGTAAATTGACAGCACTATCTATATAAGTACCTGAAATAAATAAATAAATGTTGGGATGGTGCAGTGGCAGAAAACAAGAGTCTCTGATTGCAGAAAACAATGTATTGAGGAACTTGTAAAACAGTACAAAAGCCCAGGGAAAGCACATCTGACTGGGGAACTCACACTAGTTAAGCGGAGAGTCATCTGTAAATAGGCCCAAATTGGAGACAGCGTCTCTCAAGGAGAGCAGAGCGCAGCATGACCGGTCCAACCACAAGGGGAGCTTGCTGAGTTGAACAAACAAGAGAGGCACTTTCCAGGGGTGTATTTACCATAAGGCAAACAAGGCATTTGCCTAGGGTGGCATTTTTCAGAGGGGGGGGCAGCACCTTGGAAGAAGGGACATACGGGGCACGGAGACCTGGTGGGTTCCAAGAGATGCTGTGGGTTTCATAACGGTGTATTCACAGCCCGACTTTCGTTCCTGGGGATGTCCGGAGCTGTGAAGGTGAGTGTCTTTCTCTCTCGTGCCATGGGGGATGGTGGCTGGTGTATGGGGGGCAGTGGTAGTGGAGGGCAGGGGTGCTCTTGGTCAATGCCAGGCTCTTTCTGCAGGGGGGGTGGAGAACCAATTTTTGTGTCGCCTAGGGCAGCACAAAACCTAAATACACCACTGGCACTTTCAACTTACATTAGGAAAAATATGTAAATTTCAAGCGCATCCAGAGCATCAAAAGTTTGTAGATACGCCAGAAGATCACCCATCGTAAGGTAGGTCAAACATTAAAAAAAATAAGTGAGTGAATGCTTTACTCTGCTGTAGGCAGGTGATAAAAAAAAAAAACATGCATCCCATTTTGCATCAAAACAAGGTTTAGATTCCTGAATTGTGTGAAACAATTTCCAATGGTAAGCTATGACCCAGTGCATAGCAACACACAGGGTTTGTATCAATCTCTCTAAGGGCCTTGTGAGGTCATATATAGTTGAAAATAGTAAGCGTTAGCCTGAGTTAGAATGAAAGGTTTACCAGCTAATTTGGAAGCAAGGTCGAAAAATTTTTTCCAGACTGTGATATCCTTTCATTTTCTGGGTTTGTTTTGCCATGGTCCTGCCAACTGTTGGTTGTTACACTATATTCCTAATCAGGGGCATCCCCAGGGTTGGTGTCACCTGGTGCGGTAACACTTGGTGTCACCCCTCCGATGATCCCCACAGGATGGATCAGATCTGCAGATTGAGCATAATGGATCGGAGTCCGATCCATCCATTATGCTCCCCAATCTGCAGATCCGATCCATCCTGCGGGGATCGTCGGCTTGCAACCTATACGGGGTTAACTGTCCACGAGCTCCACGAAAAGGTAAGTTTTAAAGCAAGCTGACGATCCCCACAAGATGATCGGATCTGCAGATTGGGGAGCATAATGGATCAGACTCCGATCCATTATGCTCAATCCGCAAATCCAATACATCTTGCGGGGATTGTCAGCTTGCTTTAAACTTTACTTTTCGTGGAGCGGGTCCGATGTTATCCCATGCGATAGTTGTCACCTGGTGTGGCACACACCCCCCGCACCTGCCTAGGGAAGCCACTGTTCCTAATGACATTGTTTTTGTTCTTGTATTATCTCTAGAAGGAGGTTTGTGGGGTCCTATTCTGTCCGGCATCCAGTGATTTTTGTTTGCCCATTTTTGCCTCATGTCTTTTAATAAACACAAAACTGTCTGGAACTCCACTTTAAACATTATAGCACAGTGGTAAGATGACCTGAGTTAATCTGGTCTGTTTGACATGTATATTTAAAAAAGCATTGAAGCGTATATCAAGGCAAAATGAAAAAACATGCGCACATTTCTGTAACAGCGTATACCCAGAGATGGACGCGGTGCAACCATTTTGGCTTTAACCTCCATCTTGGCAAAGGGATTAACCATCCTGACAAATATATTTCTCCCTCATTCTTCCCCCCTCTCTCCTTAGAGAGGCCCAGCGACATTTGGCCAGTATGTATGTGAGTTGGGAATGTCGCAGGAGGGTCATAGGAGCTATATGCCCCCCAAGGGAGCCAGGGCCTCCCTGTCCAAAGAACCTGCAAATTGTAACACCTCATAAGAGATAAGGCAAGCTTTCCCAGGAGTTGAAAGAGATTCCAACCTAATAAACCTAACTCAGCGTAGGTGACAGAATCAGATAAACACTTTTCAAAATCCATTTCTACCCTATGTCTCATATCTTGGAATATGAGAGACTTACATAAAAACTGGACCTATCGTCAGATTGGCCACGAGAAGGCGAACAGTTTGATAGGTCACTCGCATGGTCTCGAATACATAGGAAAACAGAAAAGTAGATCTCGTGAACCGTACAGTGTATAATCTCATAATTCATATCTAATCAATCGTCAGACGTGTCTGCATAATAATCTACCTGCGGGTGGAATGTCACTTGTGCAGCTGAAAAGTTATGGTCCAAAATATGAGTTAGGGGAGATTTTGGCTCTAGTTGAGGTATCCACCCATACCTACACGCCCTAAACGGGGTATTGGTCCTTGACTTCAGAGACACCCCCTGCTGGGAACTACAAAATAGGCTGTCAGGCCTAAGAGTCAAAGTTGAAGACGTCTCCCATTTTAACATCAATACCACCTGGGGAGACCCACGCCCTTTTGCTCTGAAACTTGGATCTGCTAACCCAGGACTTTGGCAAGTACCTTAACCCTTTCACCTCTCTCTGATATCTCTTTGCTGTGCTGTTAGTCTCTGTATATTTATATATATATCTTAGTTACATCTTATTCTGTAAATATTTTTATTGCACCCGTTTGACCTTTTAGTAATAAATCTTTCCTTCTGAAAGTGTTGAACTGTTCCTATAGCGCTTTATTGCAATTTACGAATTCCTGCCTCTAAAGAGAACTCTACTGTGTTTGTTTAACTCTCTGCATAATCGGCCTGCGGTGACTGTATTATGCAGATGATTATCTCAACCATTATGGTGTTTTAGCTGATATTGCCGAGTTTCCTCTTTCTCTGTACAAAAAGGAGGTGGTGTCAGTGTGAAGGGTTAATTGCGTAATTAACCTGACCCAGTAACAATCACTCAGGTTGCCGGTACATTGATTGTGGTCCAATTAGCTGGAAAATCGTTGTGCAGGATGCAGCTGGGTGTGGCATTGTTACGCACGTGACATCGCGGTTTTAGATCGGCTAGTCCTTCGGTCACGAGTTTGGGGAGAAGGTCTGGGGTCTGACGCCGCGATCGTGACAATTTCCGCATGTGTTATGCCTGTAAAAACCTTGCTCAGAATAGAAAAATACTCGCTGATCCTTCAGAAATGTACTTATATCTTAATTTCCTATTGTGGGCTGACAATGCTCAGCATTTTGTGGAATGAGTGGTGTATGTCCTGCCCATCGTGGTTTAAAAAACTACTCAAGCACTCCCACTGTCTTCCTATCCACAGCCTAGGGACTAATTGACTTGTAGTTCAAGATAAGAACTGGGAGGGCTAAACAGTCTTTTTGAGATACTGCAGGAGGGTGTTCTGACCAGATCAACAGACATTATTTGCACTTAAAGTGGAACTAAACCATTGATTTAATAGTAAAAAAAACAGTTCGATTTCTTGCATGCCGGACAATGCTAACTATAACATTTAAAATATAAAAATAAGCGAGCGCCTCATAAGAAAACGTACAGCAGCTGTACACCAAAGGCACCATATAAGACCTCCCAATAGACAGTATATAAAAGGTGCAGCGCTAATATACAAATAAATGAAGATAATTATACATAAAAATTCAAGGTGACATAGTGCATATAGTTAATAAACACTTGTTTATTAACTATAACATTTGCTTGTGCTCTCCACCAAACTGTCAAACCATCAAACGGCTGGTGTCATTACTGATTTCATGTACAGCACCATAGCAGTTGCAGCTCAAACAGGTTACAGTGAAGGAAATAAGTATTTGATCCCCTGCTGATTTTGAATGTTTGCCCACTCACAAAGAAATGATCAGTCTAAAAATCGAATGGTAGGTGTATTGTAACACTGAGAGACAGAACATGTTCATGAGAGAAATAAGTATTTGATCCCCTTCACAAAACATGACTTAGTACTTGGTGGCAAATCCCTTGTTGGCAATCACAGAGGTCAGACGTTTCCTGTAGTTGGCCACCAGGTTTACATACGTCTCAGGACGGATTTTGCCCCACTCCTCATGGCAGATCCTCTCCAAGCCATTAAAGCAGAGCTCCACCCAAAAGGGGAATTTCCGCTTTAAGGACTGCTCCCTCGCTCCCCATTAAGGATTGGCACCTATGGGGAGCAGGTACCCAAATTTGGAAGGTACCCGTTCCCACTTGCGGTCCAATTGCCTAGGCCAGGGGTAGGCAACCTGCGGCTCTCCAGCTGTTGCAGGACTACAAGTTCCATCATGCCTCTGCAAGCCATTGCAATTTTGCAATGTCTCATGGGAAATGTAGTTCCACAACAGCTAGAGAGCCGCAGGTTGCCTACCCCTGGCCTAGGCGATCGGAAGCGGAAGGTGTCCTCCCTCCCTCCCTGTAGTCTTTTGGGACACATGACAAGTCCCAGAAAACTACAGGACCATTCACAAAGCGCAGGGCTACTCGCGCATGCGCAGTGGGTACCTGGCTGTGAAGCCACAAGCTATCACAGCCGGGTGCCCACATTGAAGATGCCGGCCTTCTGGAATACAGGACGGCTGGGGAAACGAGCTGCGGGGGACACACCACGGGACCGAGGGACAGGTAAGTGGCTGTTTTTTTTAAAAGTCAGCAGATACAGTTTTTGTAGCTGCTGACTTTTATTTTTTGATAGGTCGAGTGGAACTCCGCTTTAAGGTTTGGTGGCTGATGTTTGGCAACTCGAACTTTCAGCTCCCTCCACAGATTTTCAATCAGATTACGGTCTGGAGACTGGCTAGGCCACTCCAGGACCTTAGTGTGCTTCTTCTTGTGCCACTCCTTTGCTGCCTTGGCAGTGTGGGATCAGCAGGGGATCAAATACTTATTTCCTTCACTGTAAGATGCCTTCCTTGGCTGAAAATGATAGGAGGGTTTAGTAACACTTTAAAGTTGAACCAAACCCTCCTATGTTTTGCAGTCAAGGAAGTTGCCATCTTAGCCTCTGTTTGATCTCCAACTGTCATGGAGCTGCACATGTGATTAATTATGACACCAGCCATTTGATGGTTTTACAGTTCGGTTGAGAGCACAAGCAAAAGTGACAGTTATCATTTGTAGCATGCATTGGGATATTGTTAGATCGATGGGTTTAGTTTTGCTTTAAGCCCAGGTTCACACCAATGTGGTGCAGGAAATGCTGCAAACCCTGTGCATTTTTGCACCGCATTACAATCGCATCATGATCATGTGATCTGGTGCGGGTGTCAATGAAAAATTAATGACAGCTCAAAACAGATCGCAAAACACAGTGCGACTGCCAGAAATTACATTGTTTGGGTGAGAACACCCAAGCGATGTGATTTGGGTGCGGATTTTAATAAGAGTCTTGCACCTTTTTGGTGCAGATGCAATGCGATTTGAGCCATACAAAGTGTATGGCTCCAATCGCACCACATAGACATTTGTATGTAATTTTCACAGGAATTTGGTGTGATTCCTGTGCAAATTATATGCAGTGTCCCGCACTGCATAGTGTGAACCTGCTGTAAAGTGGGCAAAACATTTTTTGTATAATGCAGTGGGTCTGTGCTTGTAGTGCATGGACTAACTGCTTGTTTGTGTCTAGGGGTGGTAAGAGCAAAGATATACTTACCTAATCTGCCGATCCTCCGAGGGCAAGACTGGTCCCTGCTGCTTCTGCCCCCCTGCATGCTAGCAGTCTTGTGAATAGACTGTTCCTGACGTCATCATGCCAATAGATCAGCTCTGGGTGTGAAGATGGAAGGAACAGTCCACCGCTGGATGTGGGGGAGTGCCATTTTGTGGGAGGTTTGAAGGACAGGGTAGGTATAGCTTTTGGGGGGCCCCTTGGACAAAACAAGCAGTTAACCCATGCAGTGTGAGTACAGCCCCACTGCATGGGGAAAACAATTACATGGAGTTCTGCCTTAACAGACTAAAAGGGATCCATAATAGAAGTTCATTGTTGGGATTCACATACACACTATACTATAATTTACCACTTTACCTGGGCAAGATGTTACATGATTCCAGTTCAGCATGTTATTATGCATGTAAAAAATGTTTTATGCTCACTTGTTTTTTTACCTCCCACTAGGTGTGCCATGTTGTATGGTATAGCCACAACTCCGGACACTGATAGGAGGCTGATTTATAAAGAGTTGTAAAAGAAAACAGGAGCAATAATGGACCTTCATTAGTTATTAATCGATTTAGGGTGAGGCTGCGCGGCAAACGGATCTGACATCAGAACCGAAAGACAGGCTGGCTATACGTTATACAATTTTCTTAAGAATTTTGCTTTAGATTTACCAAAAACCATATAATATGAGGTCAAAACCTAAACAATACTTTCAACTGTATCCATTCAGGCAGGCCCTTGCACTACATAGTTGAAGGTAAATCTAAAGGAAATTGGACAGAAATGTGTAAGAAAATTGTATAGTATATGGCCAGCCTAACGTGGGAGCATTGTCCAAGAGCGCCGGTGGTGGTGAGAGCACACATGTCCACATTTGATGTCAATCCACAGTGTTAGGCTGGCCATACATTATACAATTTTCTTGAGATTTTTGGTTTAGATTTACTAAAAACCATAGAATAGGAGGTCAAACCTAACAACACTTTCAATTGTATCCAATTAGGCAGGCCCTTGCACTACATAGTTGAAGGTAAATCTAAAGGAAATTGGGCAGAAAATTGTATAGTGTATGGCCAGCCTTATGATGATAAGCATTTTTAAGTTATTTACTTTGTGAGTGGCTTTCTAATTTTATTGAATAAAATTTTGAACATTGATTATTCAAAAATCTCTTTGTGTAAAATCTCTTTTTATTCAAAAATCTCTCTGTGTAAAATCTCTTAAACCTCCTTACCCCTTTCCACCAGATATCACTGAAAGATAAAAAATAGTATCCAATGGTACATTGGATACTATTTTTTTTATCTTTCAGTGATATCTAGTGGAGAAGAGTAAGGAGGTTTAAGAGATTTTACACATATGTGCGTTTAAGTGGAGACTCAACAAGTGATACATGCCAACCATGAGAACGGGAGAAAAGAACTAACTCTCCAGTGCCTCAAAGGGGCCAATACCAGGGGGAGGCCAGGGTTTTGGTGTATGAATGACCTATGGCTAAAGTCCCGGAGATGCAGCTCTCCTCAGATGGGGAGATCAATGAACTGAAAAAAAGCACACAGGTGGCGTAAGCACCTAGCGCATTAGCCAAGGTTTATTAAAATGGTAAAAAAGACAAAAAACATACTCACAAAATTAGCACATATCAAAGCCTGGAAGGCCACAGTGATGGCGGATTTGGTGGCAGACTGTCTGACTGATGGTGTGGTCAGCTTTCTGATGCATTTCGGGGATGTATCCTTTTCCTCAGAGCTGAAGCTCCAGGCATGTCTCTGATACGCAGATTGGTGGAACACTCTCCTCCGTCCTTTAACCTCCCTAGCGATCTGATTATGTCCATATTTCTGTGCTCAAAGCGGTAAATTTTTTTGCATGGAAGTATGTATTTTTTTTATTGTAGGCCTGTAATTTTTAGGAATAACTCACTGAAATCTGTCCCAACAAGAGTCTAGTAAACATCCCGGGTATGTTACAATTTGAAACACGAAATCATAAATTATAATTTAATAAATAATCATAAAAAATAATAATATAATAATAAATTTAATTCAATAATATAATCAAACCAAAAACAATGAAATTTTAAATATAGCGCCAAGTTCGCACATCACTGAGCAAAGTCGCAAAATCGTTTTCAGTGTCTGATGACGAATTTCTCCGTGAATCATTATCACTCAATTCTGCAAGTAGTTCTGATTTACTATCGCTGTTCTCTAGCTGGTCTAAAACTGATTTTGACCTACTGTAAAGTGACGCTTTTTGGACGCCATGGACATTTCTCAGTTTCCAGGCAGAAAGAATGGTAAAAATGCAGGCAGGGCACAGGACAAAGCACTCGAGACAAAATGTATGTGAAATGGTTTGATACAGTAATGTCATACTATGTGATTTTAGTGTATTTAGTGAATGTCACTTTTTGTAATTTTCAAATTTCCCGCCAGTTCCGTCCCCGTACATCCCGACGCTCGCAGGGGACGGAACCCAGATGACAGATGCCACTATCGGCCGGATTACATTGCCGGGGACACTGCAGGAGGGACATCGCGGGAGCGCAGGACAAGGTAAGTCATCGAGGAATCCTGGAGCAGCACCGCATGGTAAGCCTGAGTGTAGCTCGGGGTTACCGCTTTTGGTACTGAAACTTTACCCCGAGCTGCACTCGGGAATACCGCCAGGGAGGCTACGGTACCGCCAGGCAAGCCAGGGTGACAGCTGGAGCCGTGGATGAAGTGAAGGGACTCCCCTGGTTGTGTGGCTGGGCTGGAGCTGATCAACAGCGTCTGTATCCAGGAAATGGACGCATGACCAGCATGGAACGCACCGGCAGAAGTGATGTCACCAGAGATAGGAGGATAAATCGAAGATGTCGGTAACACAGGACAAGCTAGCCGGAGAGTGGTCCTACACAGATGACCTTTTATACAGATGAGCTTTATTATACTTTTGTTCCTGTGAGTGTTTTTATACCTATCCATTAAATGTGACAACAATAATCAGCACTTAGTTTTTGGCGCCTCCTTTTTTTCTCTCCTCTTATGCAGGCCATAGATGGGTCGAAAATCGGTCGATTATTCGGCCGAAGAATAAATCGGCCGATTTTCGCACTGTTAATAGGTTAATTGGTCGGCCGTCTTTCTGGATTTTGGCACATTTTTTTTATCGCTAAAGTTGGAAAAAAATTGGCCGATTTTACCGATCGGCCGATTTTCGTGGCAATGATGGGCAAATCAGCCGATCTTTTTACCGATAAAAAATCTGCGCATGAGCCGTGACCCAGAAGAAGAAGAAGAAAAAGAAGAAGAAAAAGAAGGGGAGGAAAAAAAGAAGAAGAAGAAAAAGAAGAATAGAAAAAGAAGAAGAAGAAGAAGAAGTAGAAAAAAGAAGAAAAAAGAGGAGGAAGAAAAGAAGAAGAAAAAGAAGAATAGAAAAAGAAAAACGAGAAAAAGAAGAAGAAGAAGAAAAAGAAAAAGAAAAAGAAGAAGAAAAAGAAGAAGAATTCCAGTCTGCTATTATATTTGACATGAAAAAAGTATAGCGGTTGCAACATTGTATCTATTTGTATCCGAATAAAAACATCTGTATCCAAATGTTGCAACCGCTATACTTAATGTCCAATATAATAGCGGAGCTCTCTGCAGGGACAGAAGTAATTAAATGCCAGCCGTAGACGGGATGAAAATCTGCTGATTTTTTTTTTTACCGTTGGTGGTAACGTCGGCCTATTGAACGACTGATTTTTTGTTTTTTTTTTTTTTTTTTTTTTAAAAACAGACGGTTTTCAACCCATCTATAGCCTGCGTTACCGATAAAAAAAATGTGCCCAAATCTAGAAAAACAGCCGACCAATTAACCCATTAATGGTGCAAAAATCGGCCGATTTTTTTTTTTTTCCGGCCGAAAAATTTTCCGATTTTCGACCCATCTATGGCCTGCAGAAGACTATGACAAT